ATCTCCTAGTTAGATTGCAGGTATGGTGGCTAGTGTAGAACCCAGGTGGACTACTTAAATTAGGTACCAAAAGTACATGTGTAGCTAGTTGTATCCTTATGAAATTGATGTAATATTGTATTTATCTGAATAAAGCTAAGTGCCAGGGACCTAAGTGGTCACCTTAATACAAGTCACTCTCGTTATAGTGAAGCCCTCAGGCTGTGAATTTTTCTTTACTATATTGAGAGGTTTACTATATTAAAAGTATCTTGATATAGTGAAGTTAATATATAAAAGTATAAATATTTACTATATCGAGAAAATAAAAAAGGCTTAATTTTATAATACTTTTATCATTATACTACTAATACATAATTTTTCTGACACTTATATAAAAATAAATAGATCGCAATTAAACTGAATTTTATCAAGTAAATATTCACCTACTGCCAAGTTTATATCAAATAGTTTTTTTTTTTTAATCATTTAGTATTTGGTTTCAATTTTTATTATCGATGTCTCAATTAGAGTATATTCATATTCTAATTTAATATTTAACTTTTTATATCCTTTCATGAGCCAAAGTGCCACCAAAATTAAGAAAATTAAGAATTCTGAAATTTATTAACCAAAAAAAGAAAATTCGAATCTACATATATTTGTTTTATGAATTAATAAAAAAAGACTTCACTAAAATTAGGCCCAAAACAAATTTAAAAAAAAAATGAAATTAGAAAAAAAATCAATAAGAATAAAATATTATTTCTACATTCACCTATAAAAAACTTCTAAATTCTTAAATCAGATAGCCAATTCCAAATTGCTATATAAAGTTAAAGTTTAAACATTTAATTTAAAAAATAATTTATTCAAAAAAGAATGAAATTTTTTGCACCTACTCACAAGAAAATCCAGTCATATCTTGCAAATAAATTTATAAATCAGCTATCTTTAAAATCAAAAAATAAAGTATTCAATCAGTTTTCAAAAAAAATTTTTTTTTAGAAAAGCAGTAAAATCTCCACAAAAAATCCAGCTATAAAATTTTATATTTTCTAAAGTTAGCTAGCCTACTTCTAGTTACTATATGTGTTAAATCATTAATGAATCATTAATTTAATTGGTTTCTAAAAAAATTTTTTTAAAAAAAAAAAAAAAAATTGCGTTTGCCCAAAAATAAAAAAAAACTAATTATCTTGCCAAATAAATTTTTCTAAAGTTAGTTAGCCTGCTTCAAGTTACTATACTTAAATTATTAAAAAAAAAAAAAAAAAAGGAATCTAAAAACTTTCAAAAAAAAAAAAAAAAAAAAAAAAATTTAATTTTAATTTGGTCCAAAAATAAACGTATCTAAAATGACTTGTCAACTTGAAGCAGTATGTTTCAGATTTATATTTTTTTTTAGTCTTCCTAAATTTTGAATGAGAGATTCATTTACTTGAAAGGCTCCATCTGGTTGCTGCTCAAGAAACAATAAGATCCTATTAATAAACTCTAAAGCTTGTATGAAGGATATTGGTTTACTTGTAACTTCATCTTCTTCTAGTTTAATACATTCTTGATTCTTTACAGCTTCGATTATCTCCTTATCATTAGGCATTTCAGTAGTAATCAGGTTATTATCAGCAATTACATACTCATTTGCACTCATGGGTTGGTCAAGAGGCAATTGCTCGATCAAATACTGAATCTCACTAGTAATATTGGATTCATTATTTTGGTCAAGCTCTTCAAACAGGAACAATTCATTAAGAAAATCATTTGGCAAAATGTCAGTCTTTCTTCAGCAGTTATGGATAGTTATTGGTGTTACTTTATCCCAACAAAATCAATTGCATCTTTAATAGTTATCAATTCAGGAGGATCACCAGATTCCAAAAAAGTATCAAACGCATCTATATAATCTTCACAAAATATTTTTTTATAATGTATCTATGTCGCTAAGTGTTAATAATTTTCTGATAATGCTATAAAAATTCTTAAAACTATACAAAGTTAATTTTTTGGTCTTTATAA